ACCTTCCTCGCCACCTTCGTACACCCCACCCGGAGCCTGAAAGGATGCCTTCAGTCCTTCTGGGGAGTGATCCCCAGGTCCAGGGGCAGTGAGTCACCCTCAGACCCCATGCATCGGCATCTCACCCTCAGGAAGGATTTGAGTAAGCCTCTTCTGTCCATCTGCAGAATATTCCCCAAGAAGGCCAGAGGACGGGGGCCTGGCGGGAGGTGGCCATGGGCCTTCGGGTGGCCCCTGGCCAGCAGAAGCAGGAGTCCCGTGAGGACAGCGAGGAGGAGAACGACGCTGAGCTCCATGGCCCGGACCAACTGTCTTTGTCCCAACTTCAGCCTTGATTGAGCTGGGCCTTTTATTCTGAGCTGGCTGCCCCACCCAGTTATGTAACTGCATTCACTCCCCGCCTCCCCTCTCATCAGGTCCAAGAGTGTGAACTTAAAAGGGTGGTGTGTTTTTCAAGTATGGGAAGTCCCATTCTTCTGGCTCACACAACCCTGTACATGTTGGCAGAGACCAGGCGGTAGCGATTCCAAAGCCCACGAGAGTGCATGTGCCCGGTGCTCACATGCTGTGTTTGTTTTGCGGCTATGGGTGAGCATGCGCGTTCGGCTTGAAGTGCTCGCGCTTGCGTACGTCCCACGCCTCCTTGCGTCTGTGCCTGTGCTGGTATGACTTTATATGCAGGGCGCTGTTGTACTCACGTCAACGTGCTGGTGTGTTTCTGTGTATGCATCTGCATGAGGTTGCGTATATGTTTTTGCCTGTGTCAGGGCTTACATGTGTGTGCATCTGGGCGCAAGTCCCCCCCCCCCACCCCACCCCATGCGTGAGTCTGGGTGTGCCTGCGTGTTTGTGCGTCTCCCAGTCCCTGTCTCTGTGGGACCTTTAGGTGGCTGGTGTCTACCTCCAACCCCCTATTCCACCCCCTTCCCCTGGTGACAGCCACTGATGAGAGGATGGGAGGACAGGAGGAAAGAGAGGCACAGAAATGGGGAGACTCAGAGAGAAAGAGAGACAGAGACGGAGGCCTGGCGGGTGTGGCGTTCAGTTCCCTCCCCATCCCCGGCTCTCTGATTGCTCTGAGCAGTGCCTGGCACTTCTGTCCCCACCTCTGGCTCTTCCTTCACATTGCAGGACATTTCTCTGACCCTCTCAGACAGTCTTGTGTGACTATCTCTCTATCCTTTACTATCTCTGTCTTGGTGTTTCTGTTTCTGCCTTTAGATTCTGAGCTCCAGGAATGCAGGAACTGGGTGCAATTTGATTGATGTCCCTTGCGCTCATGTGTGTCTCCATCATCAGGCCCGGCCTCCAGCAGGCTCAGTCCAGATCTGTCCAGGACGTGAATGAATGTGCCACATGCACCCGTCGTGCCCTGGGCCTGGGTTTCCACCTCACTCTGTCTCTCTCCCTCAAAAGGGAGTGGGGGAATATGAGGCAACATCATCTCTCTTACAACGTTGGCCAACCCTTTGCAGGTCGCAGGACTATGACCCCAGAGGTTGAATCATACCCTCCCGATCCAGGCAAAAAGGACTGATAGTCCCGATATCTTGAATTCAGGGGTGGAGCCTTAACTTCACTGATCTGGGAGAGGTGCCACCATGGACTTTCCTGACCCAGGTCCTGGCCCCTGCTGTGCTGTGTATCTGGCACTGAGCCATGGCCCCATTCGAGCCCCGGGTATCACTGAAGGAGAGCCATAAAGTGCTTTACACAGAGTAACTCACTCAGTCCTCACCCTTTAAGGTAGGTACGGTTGTCATCCCCACTTTATAAATGGGGAGAGTGAGGCAGAGAGAGGTGGACAGTTTTACCAAGAGACACAACGGCAGGTAGAGCTGCATCATTCAATAGTTGCCACATGCAACTATTAAGCGCTCGAAACATGGCTAGCAGAAAATGTGAAACTTAATTTTAGTTAGAAATTGATACTCACTTCAGTGGTTAGAAAACTTACAAGTACATTTGGAGCAACTTGGGTATGTGAACCTAGTTTTTCAGTTACAAATTTCATGAACTCTAAACACAG